TAAATGTTGGAGTACATATTTTTAAAATAGAATGAGAAAAAGTGGAAAGTTATTTTGATGTGTAAAAAAAGTATTAAGCTTGGATGTTATACCATCGATACATTAGTCATACTTCCCCCATTCCAAAAAAAAAATATTCTAACTGAACTTTTATGCCAATTTTACTACAAATTTAAAATAATTTTAATTAAATTAAAGCAACAAAATTTGCGATATATATTAAATTATCATTAGGGCGTTGGTATATTCATTCTCAATAGGGAGTTGGTACATTCATTCTCATTTTGGCTAAATGTACTTCATATATGATAAATTGAAAAGAGTAAATTCTATAATTGGTCCTTTATAACAGTAGGTTTCCCTATATAGTCATCTATTATCAAATTTTACCTAAGTGGTCCTTCTTTTAAGGATATCTTTCTACAAATAGTTCTTTTTTGATCTTCTATCATGTTGGTGTTAATTTGAGAGCTAAAGGTGTAATTTCACAATGATAATATATCTTTTTTGTCATTCACAATTCTAAAGGCTGTTCCATTTGCATCGTTTGTGAATTACAGTCGCTTTTTACAACAACTATAGTCTACAAATGTGAACTTTCTTCAGAATCCTAACCTACAATCATAGTCATTATTTTTGTATTATCCGCTTAACCAATATCAGAACACGTCACTAGACATAATGTTGATGTCAAATTATACTTTTAGCCTTTAAATTAACACCAACACGGCAAAATATCGAAAAAGAACCATTTGTGGAAAGGTATCTTTAAAAAAGGACTACGAGGGTAATATTTGATAAAAAAGGACTAAATATGAAAAACCCTCTTGTTATAAAGTATCTGATGGATTAGAGATTTTTCCTAATCCAATATTATTTGAACAGTACAAGAAAGCCCACTTTTATCTGACCCAAGATATAAATCAAATAAATTATTCAAGACAGAACCAGAGATATATGGACAGAAGAATATATTTGAAGTGATGCGGAGACATTTGGCGGGACCCGTGGAACACTACTACATGGAAACCACATGCCGCACATGGGCTTCACATGGACAATGTCCCCTCTTGTCTCCATCAATTATTTCCTTTCCCCTTTTAAATGCAGGCTACGAAGGAGGGAGGAGAGAGGGCCAAATACTCAACAAGTCCCTACTATTATTCTTCATTCTTCTCCTTCTCTTAGCATGGAGCTCTATTAATGGCTTCAAGCTCCTACAGTGATGCATATGTAAATTCCTCTGAGATTAATAAAAGTTCCTCCCCTTTGGCATGACACCGCCTAAAAAGGCCCGTAGTTTTCTCCCGATTTGGGTTTCCACGTATAAATACTTTCTCTCTGCTTTATTTATTTATTTATTTATTTATTTTCTGGATTTCGCTATTCGGTGCGGTGTCGACCCGGTACCGATTTCAACGGGTCGACACCCCAAAAAAGCGGGTTCCATCAGTATCAATTATGGAATTTATTCAATTGAAAATTCTACTCTTAAAAAAAAATAGAAAATTAAGATGCAAGCCAATTTTTAGGCAAAAGTTATCAATCTAACAAAAAAGGTAGATTTAGCAAAAAGTAATTGGATATAGTAAGTTAGCAACATTCATATCAATATTTATTCAATGGTTGATATATTTGAATTTTGAAAATGGTCGAACAATCCTCGAATACTAACTAGAACTTATCGGATAATCACATAAGAAAAGATATTTTTTAAATATACAAAACAATATACTCTAAAATAAGAGATAATTGATTAAATTTTTGGATGGGCAAGTGTCACTAGATTGACAATAATCTCTAATAGTAATATGTCAATTCTCTCTATGTCCCAAAAAAGAATGTAATAAATTATTCAAAAATACGTAAACTTTTATTTATTTGTATGTTTTAAAGTGATTATATGATTAAATAAAATATCTTTGTCATTTTTTATTTTAAAAAATTTAACATAACTTTTTAAATTTGTTAATTTTATTTTTTATTTGTATTAAAATATTAAAATAAAATAAATTTTAAAAGAAATAAGTGTTTCTATACTTTTTATACTTTAAAAATCATTCATTCTAATTTATATATTGAACTATGGAAGAATTACATTCTTGTGCAATTCCCGCACAAGTGAAGTAATTAATATTTTATTTTATGTAAGAAATAAAAAAATTTAAAATGAAGCATTTGATAAATAGGGATTAGTACATAATTAATAAAAAGTTAACTTTAAATTGAGATTGTGATTTATTTTGTTTACATATGTAGATTGGAATGAATCACAAAATCAAAGAATATCCATTTAAATTGTGAACTATTATTGATTGGAATTGGAAAAATTTGAAAAATGTAATTTATACACACACACACACACACATATATATATCCATACACTTTTTTATATTCAAGGATATCATATTTCTATTACTCTAAATTAATTTTTCGATATTATTCACTTTAAAATTTCAAAAATAATTTTTAAATTTTTTATTTTCATTTAAAAGCATATAATAAGTATATTCCCGTTCAATGCACGAGTGAAATACTTCTCCATCCATTCCACGAAACCCTTTCTCTTTTGTTTTTTTTACTTTCTACAAAAACCACTTTTACTGTTACTTTTTCATACCATACCTATCACATCATACTTTTTCACTACTAACCAAAATATTATATCTTACTTTTCCCATCATATTAGGGTCAAAATTGAAAAGTGAACCAAAATTATACTTTCCTTATTTTTTTCTTCGAAATAAAAATCGAAAGTGTTTTGTGGAATAGAGGGAGAATATTTAAAAAATAACATTAAAAAAAAAATATATATATTTGTGCTTGAACTAACGAACTTCCAAAGAATAGAAGATACAAAATTCATCTTTTGTTCAGGGATTAGCCGATTTAGATGTTTGAAACCAGGTAGCTTGAAATTCATTTTAATTTCATTGCAGTTTCAATTTTTAATTTGTTACTTCTGAATTCAAATCAATCAACAGAGAGTTTATGTCAAGATTATTAGGACAACGAAGTAGCAAATCCAATTTCAATCCATTTAGATTATTATGACTGTTTTTTAATAAGTGCAATTAATCAATTTAAACCCATATTCAAATTGAATGTAATTGGGTAGATTCTTGATTTCGTTGGATCCAGGTTGTTTTGGGTCTGCCAGTGCCTAGAAAAATCAGTCTTTCATGAATTCGATTGGCAACATTTCTTAGCAGTTGAGTGCCCAATTGGTTAGTTGCTCCTGAGAGATTCAAGGTGAGTGAAATGGATATCATTATAAGTTTTTAAATATCATCTTGTCATGAAAATTTTTAATTTTCATTTCATTGCAATTTAAATATTTGATTTGTTATTTCTGAATTCAAATCAATCAATAACGAGCTTGAAACGTAATTCTTAGGATAATGAAGTAGCACATCCAGTGTTTAATCCATTTAGATTATTATGACTGCTTTAAGAATTAATCCATTTTTATCAATATATCCCATGAACTGCATCAAGATTCTTCTTAATTAATGTGTTTGTGCTACTCTGGATAATCTTAGTATTTGAATTTCAATATTTATTTATATGTTTATTTGCAGGTCAATATGTTTATTTATTTAAATGTTTATTTGGAGGTCAATGTGGTATTAATTTTAACAATGTATTGATGCTGCATGAACTAACTAAGTTCTACGCTTAGGTTCTGTTTATCGAACCATTTCTGTTGATTTTGACTCGACTTACTTGCTTTGGCCTTTGGAAACCAGTTGATTTAATATGAGTTATGAGTAAACAAAAAGAGTTCATACGAAGTAAACAACCAAAACAGGCAGTAAACTGATTAAAAACGGTAGACTTCTTAATATAAATTGTATCTTGAAATTTAATCCAATTAATTGACTCCTTCACAGTTGCAGAGGTTCCTCCATGAATCTTAGCATTCCGATACATGAGTACGTCCAAATGACAGCAAAATCTCGCATAATCAGCTTTGATAGTTGTCCTCCATTTAATTGGTTTCAATTTGATGAGCATAACCTGCATATCCAATGAACTGTTTCTTGAAATTTGATCCAATGAATTGAGTCCTTCACAGTCACAGAGGTTCCACCATGAATCTTAGCATTCCGGTACGTGAGTACGTCCAAATGACAGCAGAAAGCCGCATAATCAGCTTTGGTAGTTGTCCTCCATTTAATAGGTTTCAATTTGATGAGTGTAACCTGCATATCCGATGGAGTAATAGCCTCCAAGTTTGCACCAGACCATTGAGAGACTTCTAAGGATGGTTTGAGAGAATGGACAGCAGCAGAATAGATATTTGTTCCAAGTCCTCTATAGCAGCATCAAAGATAGAATAGGTAGTATCCACACGGAACCACTGAGCACACATAAAAAATTTAGCTTGCTCTTCTTAGGTATTCTTCACCAGTAGTCCTTGACTAGTGTAGTTTTAAGTAACCATCTTTGATGAAGAAATCATTAGGAAACCAATGAGCACAGGCTACAAATTTTTAATCATAAATGTATGTTTTAACATCCATATTATTGCAATAGTGGTCTCCACCTAGGCGCGGTGGCTTTTCCTCCCTGAAGTTTTGCCACTATGCTTTCAACACACCTACCTACACATACACCATAAGCTGCTACAGTTTTAACTTTCAAAGATTTGGCCCGATTGATTACATTAAATATGCATTCCAACAACACATATTTACTGCCTCACTGAATTTGATCAACTAAATAGATGATAAACTTTGAAAGGTATATATTATATCTGTAAAGGAACAGATTGCAATGCCAGCTGTATTTCCTAACTACTCCTTGTATTTTGGATCTCTAGTTAGATAGCAGTAGATGTGTATATATAGTAGGTGGTTTTACTCTTGGATGAGGATGAGAAACACAAGCTTCGAACTGTCCAATGCATTAATTCTTTCTCTGTTGGTTTCTTGCTTTCTTCCCGATCAAGAAATTTATCAGAGCCTCACTTTAATGGCGATTAGATTTCCGATTCTCTGATTGACATGTTTTGATTCCTTTCTTCTCCGATTCTCTGATTTCCGATTCTCTGATCGACATATTTTGATTCCTTTCTTCTCCGATTGTTCATGTCATCCATGGCAGAAGAAAATGCTTTTACGTGAGCGCCTATCGACATACAGAGTGAATTGTACCTGCACCCTACTGATTCACCAAATTTCTCCCTGGCAATACAGGAATTAAATGGTGAAAACTTTTCACAGTGGAAACGATCTGCTGAAATTGCTTTGAGAGCACGAAACAAATTAGGTTTTGTGGATGGAAGCTCGATCCTTCATCTCTTACCTTCGCACAGTGGTCGCACAGTGGGCTTCTTCCTCAGTTGCTCTCTTGCCATCTGGATTCTCCATTGTGTCTTACTGTTTTGACCATTCGGGCTGGCCCAACCAATCCAAAGTAACCCTTTTGGACAGAGGAGGCAACAATGGTGGGACTGGATCACTACTGACCATTGGGGTCCAAATGCTGGTGAGTAGCTCGCCTGGTGCAAAGCTCACGATGGAGGCGGTCCAGACTGTGAACACGCTCATCTCCCGTATGGTTTCGGATATCAAAGCAGCCTTCCATTGCAACTGATGCGTTTGTTTTTTTTCCAATCTTCAATATTAATTTTTTGGGTCGAGTAAAGATATGGGCGGTTTGAGTCAAGAACGAACCAAACAAGACGGGTGGTGGTTCGGGTATTGACTCGGGTATATGTACCAGTAAGCTAGCAGCAGGAAGTGCTGTTTTTTGGATTTTACATTCTGTTGAACCTGCAATTGGGAATAGCGTACTGTATTGTGAATCTGCCAAAGAAATTTGGGAGGACCTTGACTATCGTTTTGGACAGACTGATGGACCAAAGTTCATTCAATTGCACAAGGAAATTGTGACTTTAGTCCAAGGATCTGATTCTGTGGCAGAGTATTTTACCAAATTAAAAGACCTTTTGGACACTTACCTGAAAATGGTGACCTTACCTCATTGCAGATGTGAAGGAGCAGGAAGCTACATCAAACTCTTTCAGAGTCAACAATTGATGCAATTCTTAATGGGACCTAATCACAACTTTCAAAAGTGTTAGAGGTAATATAATCATGATGAGGTCTCTTCCTACCTTGAGTCAAGCTTATAAACTGATAAGTCAGGAAGAAACTCAAAGAGATTGTAGCAGTTCTGGTCCTCTGATAAGTGAATTCAGTGCCTTGGCTTCATTGCATCACATTCCTAATAGTTCCAACAGACCAGTGTTTGGCGTTACTCCTAGCGGAAAAAAAGTCCAATTTTTTTTGTCAACATTGTAAGGTGTATGGCCATTCTGTTGAAAGGTGCTTCAAGATACATGGCTATCCAGAATCTAGTGCTCCAGGAAAGAAGATTGCTGGGAATGTAATATCTGAAGTAGACAAAGATGTGAGTGGAGCCACTGCCTACACAAATCAGACCTCTCATTCTGCTGAATTGCATATGACACTTACCAGCAGCCAATACAATCAACTCATTGCTCTGTTGAGTAAAGGAAACTCTCATGATAGAGATGATGGCAGAGCTCCTGGCTTTCTTTCAGCCAACATGGCCTCAAGTACTCACTTAGCAGGTATTACTCACTGTCTCTTCTCTTATACAACAATACACAATGGATCATTGATAGTGGAGCCTCAGATCACATAAGTCCACATTTGAGCACTTTCTCTTCCTTCAAACCCATCTCCAGGCCTTGTTCTATCACTATACCAAATGTTCAAAAAGTTAATGTGCTTCATGTTGGGAATGTGAAGTTGCAAAATGGAATTGAACTTTCTGATGTACTTCATGTTCTAGACTTCCACTTTAATCTTCTTTCTGTCCAAAAATTGGTTTCACAACTGCCTTGTTCATTGACTCTCCATCCTTCCCATTGTTTTATTCAGGATCATGTGAAGAAGAATACTTTGTTGGTTGGTAAACAACATGGTGGCTTGTACTTTGTGCAGCAGCTCGCACCATCAACTTCACATGTTTCTTTTCATTCTTCTAATTCTTGTTTGTCTGAAAGTGAGTTGTGGCATTGTAGATTGGGTCACTTACGTTACCATACAAATACAATAGAGTGAAGCACATTGGTCATGTGTCTTGTATTGAATCTTCTTCTTCATCTGTATGTCATGTTTGTCATCAAGCACATATGCATAAACTACCTTTCATATCTAGTTTAATAAAAACTACCTGTGTTTTTGAAATGTTGCATGTTGATATTTGGGGACCAATAGGACAGCAACATATTTTGGTCATAAATTCTTTGTAACCATTGTGGACGATTTTTCCAGAATCACTTACATTCAGTTGCTTTCACACAAATCCAATGATTTTCCAGCTTTAACCAGTTAGTTATATCACTTACATTGAAAAACAGTTTAATGTAAGATTTAAAGTCATCCGTTCAGATAATGGCAAAGAATTTGATGATACTTCAGCCCAATCTTTTTATCAATCCAATGGGATCATACATCAAACCACCTGTGTTGACACTCCTCAACCAAACGGAGTTTTTGAAAGGAAACATAAACACCTTCTTGAACTGCTCGGGCTTTATTTTTTTCAAGCTAAGCTTCCCACTAAATATTGGGGGGAATGTGTCCTCACAACATGTTATTTGATAAAGAGATTTCCCCTTTCTGTTCTGAATCACAAAACTCCATATGAAATAGTTTTTCACACTCCACCAACCTATGAACACCTCAAATCCTTTGGGTGTTTATGTTTTGCTACCACTTTGGCCTGCCACAGATATAAATCTACACCTAGAGCTGCACCTTGTGTGTTTCTTGGTTATCCCTTTCATAAAAAGGCATATAAACTTTTTACTCTACATACTAGGCCGGTTTTCTACAGCAGACATGTCAAATTCCATGAACATTATTATCCTTTCCATCATCTCTCCTCCACTTCATCATCTTCCACCATTCTTCTTAATCTGCCATCTGTTCATCTAATATCTTCTTTCATCCCACATCTGATCCTATTCCATCAAGCCTTGACACTAGTGGAGTAGTGGTACTTCATCACCTCCTGACCCTTCCTCTTCTTCTAATTCAACCTTAGCCAATCCTTCTCCTCCTCCCATCTCCACAGTCTCCTACATCTTCTTCCCAAACTCCAGCTTCACAAACTTCAGCCCCCCCTCCCCCCACCAAGGGTTTCTACCAGATTCAGGAAACCATGGTTGTTAAGTCAACAAGTCGAGTCGTGTCGGTCACGAGGAGACTAGTGGACTAGTCGACAAATCATAATTAGTATTGAAACTTTTTACATTATATATATCTTCATTCACTACAAATAACTATATATACTTATATGACAAAATATTATTACCAAAGCAAAATTATGTTTTCAAATAGCACATAAAGTCACATACCAAAGAGTACTTAAGAAACAAATATCCAACAAGGATAATAAGCACAAAAAGTAGTCAAAGAACATATTGATATCTAACTTCTCATTTTGAGTTATCAAATATCATCATCCAACGATATATCACAATTGCTGATTGAAATCATCAAAAAATAAAAAACTGAATAAAATTAACAAAAAAAGTGTAAATTGAAATCAGAAAAAAACAGAACAGAATAAATTTTAAAAATATAGAATATAATATACTTGTTTAATAGTTTAGTGAACCAAATTAAAGAAAATTAACCTAAATTTGGAAATTAAGTGATAACGAATTATAAATATAAAATTTACCAAGGGAGAGATGCTACTCAGCGGACGTGAATCGTGCGATGAAGCGGAATACCGGGTTGGTCTCTTCTTCTCCGTCCTATCAAGATGCGATGAAGAGGAAGATAAAAAATTGAATCCAAATCTGCTTCAAATCTTCAATCGACGAGGAAGGATAGATGTCGGCCGTGCGAGAGAATCGTTATTGGATTACTGAATTTATCCGGTAATATTTAATACAGCGTATTTAATGAAATTCGGATCAGTCATGGGTCGGGTTGGGCTCTTCTTCTCCGACTATTCGCTACCAAACAACGACTAGGCCTCGCCTTTCTCGGCTGGACAATTAGGCCACCCTAGTCGCTAGGCACCCAGTTTTTCCCTTTCCCCAAACCGCCTGGACGACTAGTCGGCGCCTAGGCGACGACTTAACAACCATGCAGGAAACCTCCTTCTTATCTTGATCAATACAGTTGTTCCACTTTACCTTCTCATTCCACAACCTTAACTTCTCATTGGTGCAACTTTGTTCATCTCAATAGCCTTTCTCAGGCTCATCAAGCCTTTCTCACTCAACTTTGTTCTTATTCTGAACCCACTTCCTATTCTGAGGCTTCCCATGATCCTCACTGGATTGTTGCTATCAAAGATATGAGATTGATTTTACTGAACCTTTCTCCCATGTGGTTAAATGTTAAAATGTGCACCATTAGATGCATTATAGCACTAGCTGCTTCTAAACACTGGGAGCTTTCTCAACTTGATATCAATAATACTTTTTTGCATGGTGACTTGAAGGATGAGGTGTATATGAAGATTCCTTTGGGATTTCCCACTCCCTCCACCAAAGTGTGTCGTTTAAAAAAAATCTCTTTATGGACTTCGTCAGGCCAGCAGGCAGTGGTTTTTACAGCCAAGGCTACACTCAGTCTAAATCTGATCCCAGTTTATTCATCAAATCCACACCTGATCACATTACTCTTGCTGCTTTTCCTTGTAACTGGTTCAGATCCTGAGGCTGTTGCTTCTATCAAACACTTTCTTGATGCTCGTTTTACTATCAAAGATCTGGGTATTGGCCACTACTTCCTTGGGTTTGAGCTCACTTATACTACTGAAGGGATTATTCTTTTTCAACGAAAGTTTGCACAGGAACTTCTTGCTGAACATCACTGTTTACATAACAGATCTGTCAAAACCCCTCTTCCTCAGCACACTAAATTCCATCATGGTTCCTCCTCTCATTAGTGTTGTTAAGTATGTGTGTGTGTGTGTGTGTGTGTGTGTATTTAACACGGGAATAAAATATGGAGGAACCATTGACATTGATTGTCAAAACCCCTCTTCCTCAGCACACTAATGATACTTCATTGTATAAATATATATTCCCTTATAGTTATCCTTGGTGAATGAAGAAATATACAATTTTAAATATTTCATTACTTAGTGTAATTTGTCGACTAGTCTACGACTTCTCTTCTCCACCAACTCGACTCGACTTGTCGCATTGATAACCATGCACGGGAAAAGGTTCTTGAAGGCTTGATTCAGCTCTCTTATCTTCCTACTGCTCATCAGCTTGCTGATGTTATCACTAAGATATTACCTGCTGATCAATTCCAACTTTTACTGTCCAAGCTGGGCATGGTGTCTCCTTCACCCAGCTTGCAGGGGAGTGTAAAGGAACAGATTTCAATGCCTGCTGTCCTCTCTAACAAACTCTATTCCAGCTGTATTTACTAAATACTAACTACTTCTCCTTGTATTTTGGTTTTCTAGTTAGATAGCAGCAGATATAAATACATAGTGGGTGGTTTTACTCTTGGATGATGATGAGAAACGCAAGCTTCAAACTGTCTAATGCATTAATTCTATCTCTGTTGGTTTCTTGCTTTCTTCCTATCAAGAAACTTATTATTATCAAACATACATGCTTATTCATACATTATACACTGATTTAGAATAAAAAATCTGTCTTTATGTATTATTACTAGTATGACAATCTAAAAGAAAACTATGATGAAGTTGTATTCTTGCTATTTTAGCTGAAAGGACGTATTTTAGATGATATGCCTATTTTAAGTTTCATGGAAACAAGTACTCCCTCTTTTCCATTTTAAAGTGTATGTTTTGGTTTATGATGTTTGAATGAAGTTATTTTCAATACAAATTTATATTAGAATTGAGGTGAAATTAAAAAATAAAATTCACATATTTAAAATTACATAAAGAACCCTTCAAAACAACCAGTCACATGACTACATTTTTTAAATCAAATGAATGACAAAAAGTGGTAAAAAAAATGAATAAAGTTTGACTTGATGAATGTAATTAAACAGGTAGCTTAATTTGGGACGTCTTGGACTGAAATCAGGCATCAATGCCTTGCCTTTTGGACATCCATTGAAGCACGTAATCAACCCTCTTCAAGTCGTAACTAAATCTGTTTGTCAATGTTATTATTTTTAATTATACATGTTATTTTATGTGATTTCATTAGCTTTTTTATCCTTGAAGTTTTTGTTGGGATTAAGAGAATTTGAATGTATATGCTAGCAGATGACTGGTGTATGATCCTAGCCCGCCAAGGATTTCTCAAATCTATATACGGAGTATCAAATAATGACAAGTTCTTAAGCATTGGTATTAGCTTTAAAACTAATTATTGCATCTAAGCCCCATACCAGAAAAAAATTAACCTACTAGATCAAAATACTACTTATATTTGATTTATCCTAGTGTGTTTTTGAAGTCAGGTGGCTTGATAGGCTAGTGAAATATGATAATTCTTTTTTGGCTTGGATGGATATATAATTCCATTTGCCTGGGACTACAATTCAAGGTAATTAATTACAATGTGTCTTTTTGGCTAAGTGACTTCATTTTGTAGCATTAGGAAGGATAGGGTGTGTGGTCTGCATATGCCAGCCACTCTGTAAATATTGGTTTGGTTGAAATGGAAGAATAGACACTTTACTAAATTTAGACTCATTGTGTACATGAATTTAGTCTACCAATGCATGCCCGTGCCCACTTACTTTTATCACCTTCATGTATTGTTTATGAAGATGTTCACTTACTCCTTCAAATTTGAGCAATATACAAGTAATTATTTTGGATTTAAATGATGTTTTTTTCATAATAATGACTTTGTTAAATTTATTGTATCAGAAATTCTTAAAATTGTACTCGTATTTTATTATACTAATATGCAATAAAAATTTTGTAAAATTAGAGTTTAAAATTTATCCAATTTGATTAAAAAAAATACATTAAAAGGGAGGTAGTATATAACATAGTTGTGGAGGACCATTATTATTATTATTATGAGTCACATGCTCACTCACGTGCATTCAAAAACTCCTACCCCAAAAAAGGGCCAAGCAACACTTAGTTTAGATTTT